ATAATAATAATAATGATAATAATAATAATAATAATAATAATAATAATAATAATAACATAGAAATAACGGAAAAGCTTACTTTGAAAAAATCAGATTATATTACCAGTATTATTATTAGATTATATTATTGTTGTCAAGTATGTTTATATCTCACTTCATTTCTGTTGTAACTAGCCATGAAACTGTTTTAAATTAAATTAAAATTAAATTAAATTTTATAAGTCAAGTTCTTCTCACATTTTGATTGGTTCTTAGTGATTTCTTTGTTTGTTTGTTATATTTTTTTTTTCTCCATGTATAAATGTATTTTCAAAATATCAATGTTAAAGGCAACGAAGCCCAGGAAGCCAGTAAGCCTTATGATCAATTGGATGACAGACGTATAGATGACATCAGTAACATTCTTTTTTTGTTTCTTTATTTTATAAAACAAGTAGATTCCATGTTGCCGTGCGTCTGTTCAGTAAAAGATCAGAGATGACGTCCAAATGTGGTAAGAACATCAGTGACACCATAGTTAACTATGGTGACACACGAGGTGATGGCCAACTGTGCCACTGAATATTGATGTCTTTACCACATTATGATGTCTTTCTGTGATCTATTACTGAACAGACGCATGGCAACAAGGAATCTTAATAAAATAAAGTAAAATTTAATACAATGGTGGAAATAAAAAAATTATATTCAGAAGACAATTTCGTGGTGTAGAGTATCTTACTCAATGAATCCTGTGGGTGGTAATTTCAAGCTCTTTTCATGTTTCCTGTGGTTGTAATCGTTTTGTGCTCGTGGCCCCTGCCGTTTTATTCTACCGATTGATCAATTAGTACAGTTTTTTAATCAAATCAATCGAGGTCGCTTAGCACAAATACAATCATCTGGGGACATTCCACAAAGGCAACATCTTGTAGCGGTCTGGTTATTGTAGTTGTTTACAGTTGTTTAAGCCGTTGAAAAAAAATACTCCGAAGCATTCTCTACGAGATTTATGTTATGACTATCCTAGAAAGGTTTTTCAGTCATTCCAGTCAACGTATAGATGTAATCAAACATCATGATCAGGTTGATGAAAGTGATAGTCAGTGCAAAATCAAAGCGAATTAAGTGACCAGCCCGACCGCCTTTGCGCTAAAAAACAAATTATCTCAATGTCTCGGAAAGACATAGAAAATGGAGCAGATTGTGGCTGAAAAGGGATAAAGGATTTCAGGCAAGCTGACCCAACCAATGGTAGGCTCTCTCTAGTCGAAAACAGGCTCTCTTGTTGAGGATGGGCAGAAGAGAAAACGGGAGGAAACCATTTCCTTCTCGGCCCTTCCAGCCCAGAGATCTGCTTCCAGCCGGAGCCTGTTCTCAGGCTAAGATGGGCGTTTTTCAAGAATTTATTTCTTCAGTCAAAGCTTTAAATTCATGGAAACAAGCAAGCGATTCTGTTCCATTTTGTTCTTACTGGCGAACATTTGCATGCATCTGGTGTTAGAAATTCTTTTAGGAAATGTGCTTTGTTCGTCGAAGGTGCCAGAGGGCGGGGCCACATACCTCGAAGAGCTAAAAACTTTTCATTTTTGTCATGTTATTGTCCGCACGGCGCCGTACGCACATAGGTCACTTGCAATGCGCGTTTGCGAGCATGTAACTATGTAGCCACGAGTCTCAGAAAGGTACCATCGAGTAAATTCAGAGTTGAACTTCTATAAAGGGAGGGTGAAAGACATAATTTATTACATATTTTCAATCAAGGAATGCTACTTTTATTCATTTTACCAAAGGCAATATAATTTGCCAGCAAAGTATTTAATTGTTTTACACTAGTTTAAATAACGTGGGAACGCTTCCAAATGAATGTGAAAGGAATGATCCTCATAAAGTTTGAAAGGAAGCTCTAAAGGATACCAATCTCTTGCTTTGTAAATGTCAATTCCTTAAATTATTAATAGGCTGAGAACAAATCCTAAAACGAGAAAAAGTTCCTCTAGTACTTTATGGCTGCTATAATACCCTTTAAAGGTCCGAGCTTTCCTTAAATTCATTTCTATTCGTTCTCTGGGAGGTATCTACTCTATAACGACAAGTGGTAATTTTTGCATGGTTGATGTCCCACGGAATTACCCTCTAACCGGGGGCATGCCAGATTAAAAAGGTATGCTGTGCCAAGCCATGAATGGTACAACTGTCCTACTCCTCACAAAACGGGAGCGATATCTCTGGATCTCTTGGGTTTGAAGTTCATGTAGTCAGTTTTCCTTTTATGTAACTTGTACTATGCAATACCTAGGTTATCAGATGCTAGATAAGTAAGTGAAAACGTCTTTTTGACAACGAGTACTGAAAACAGTGTCAAAGAGTCAATACAAAACGCAAGGATGCTGTAAAGACCTGTGTCATCGCCCTATACTACTTACGTGATTTTTTACTGTTGTCTCAAAGCCGTTGATGCCATGGGACTTTTATAACTAGTACGAGAATTGATGAAACTCTAAGAAACCGAAAGAGTCCAGGCCGATGATAATAAGGCGATAGAGTGTCGTCAAAGTATTAATTTAGAATACTGTATGCAAGATTGGCTACTGAAAATATCACTAAGAATTTTCATTTGATTCCAAGTGACACTTGCCGTTTACCGAACTATCAATTTACGAGGAAAAGTGTTATGCTGATTGGTTGAGTCAATCTTTGTGAATACTAAGTTCTAGCTTTATGTACACAACAAACGTCATCTATGCTACCTAAATCAATGATAACTTAACTAATTAATCTGTAATTAATGTCATTAATCATACAAAAATAACAGGGCTTTTTCTATCGCAATGAAGACTTCATTTAGTGAACAAACAATAAGAAAATAAAAAAGCCTTTTTATTCCAAAAAGGTTTTTAAAAGCCTTCTTGCAAAATAACCTTATCTTAAACTATTTTTACTTTTAATAGTTTATTACTATCACTTGTTAGATAATTAGAGCGGTTTTCAATTGATTGTCGTAAAACAAAAACCTTAGTAATTACTCTAGCCAATCACAAAGTACACCGTGCAGAAAATTCAGAGAACCAATCAAAACTCGAAGCAAATGAATGCAGTAGACACGAAGCGCGGGAAACCGGCCGTGTGCGAGCGAATCTCGATTGCTTTTGGTTTGTCTTCTGATTGGATGAGAAAGTGGCGCGAGTTTTTTAAGCCAATCACTCAACGTAGTAAAGCAAAACCAGAACAAATGCAAATTGCTTTCGATACTCAAGTGAAAACCGTCCTAACCTGACTTCAAAGTACTTTTAAATATTACTGTTATAGAGTTGAGACTGAACTGTTAACAAGACGTAACATCTTCATAACATTTATCCTCTTATAATGTATGCTTAAATCATGAGATACTCATTTTACTGTAAGATCTGAGTAAAATACATAATGTCTCTGTAACGTTAAACGTTGGTGTCCTCAATCCCTTTCACATGGGGGCCTACTTCAGCTTCTTTCAGGGGAACAGGGTCCAACCGCTGGTATTTAATCAGACCAAAGTACCGAGCAATGGCGACGCCAGGGATGAACACGACTGACATCAGAACAAGGACGACAACGATAAAAACTGCCCAGTCGGGGTAAGGGACTTTCTCGTACGTGGCCTGGAGAAGAAACACAGAAACAACAAGATGACACCCAATCGTAAATTACATTCAAAGTAAATAAAATGGTAAAAAAGTTTACGAAGTCATCATGAAGTTATATCGTCTCTAATTACCAAATTAAAGAAATAGACGCTTTATTAGAGCGGTTTTTATTGAGGGTCGTAAACCAAAACCACACCAGTTGTCGTGGTAAAACCAAAACCTTAATGTAATTGCCTGATTAATTTCGACACTCAGTTGAAAACTGCTCTGTATCATATAATCATTTACGAAGTATTCAGTATCTTGAAAGTATAAAAAAAGAGAAAGCTGTGACGTTATACCTTGCCCTCGTTCCAGGCGTAGTAAGAAGCTTTCCCTTGTGACATGAGGATGATACTGGCGATCAGGATTGCCAACATCGCAGCTGGTGTGATGAACATCCAGCAGATTTTCCAAAAGAGATTTGGTCGGCTGCCAGTCATGTACTCTATGTCATCAGAAAACCTGTGGACGTAAAAATGTAAGGTCATGTAAAGATCGATTTACGAATAACTTGCCTGGGGAGACATGTTTGAGATGGGCGTAGTTTTGCACAGAACTTCAATTATAATTTTATTATGATCCAAACATCTAAATGGCCACCTGAAAAGAGTTGATTCCGGAGAAATCCTTTTTCAGTATTTGATTTGATAGAACGTTCATGGTTGTGTTGGGCTGGAAAATGTATTTTTTTTCCCAGCAAGATACGGTGAAATCGTGCTGAAATCATGCAGTGAAACCTTGACAATGATCAGAAGCAATCAAAGATATCAAGTACTGCTATGTCACTACTTCAAATTTTACAACATCTGCCGAGTAGATGCTGGCTTACCTGGACTGCCATAAATGTTTCTTAATTTGTTTTCATTTCAGAGTAGTGTATTCTTACTAGTGAAGTACTGTAACAAATAAAGTGTGAGGACGGTCTAGTTGAGCGCCGTTTTGTTCATGAAATCTCAATATTTTCGCTGTCTAAGCCTTCTGAGTGAGACATGAACCTGTTTTTTACTCTTTTTAAACAGTCATCACTAATGTGACGTTAATCAAGCCTACCTTTTGATGCCGTAGAAATAGCAAACACCAACACATTCGCATATTGCAATGAGCAGGAGGGGAAGGTTGCCTGCAAAGCTGTCAAACATCTGAAGGACATATTCACCAGAATATGTCACCATGGGAAGGCCAATGCAAAGCCCGGTAATGCACAAAAGCCCTGAAAAAATGTTTGCAATTTCCGTAAGATTATTTCACGAATAAGTGCGCATTGCGGTTCAATACTGATTCTGCTGATTGTACGTTTAGTCAGAATGATCGACGTTCGATCGTATAAGGCGCTTTTCATGCTACATTTATGTCACATATCATCTAGCTGGCTATACCATTCCGGGCCTATACAGTGTATGATAGATTTAATGGATCAATAGATGGATTCGACTAACGTGTTTGCATCCATGTTACCACCCAATTCAGATCATCAGATGATTCATTTGGGAGGCTACAACTGTTCTGTTTGCACACACTCCCATGCAATCAGTTGCATGTGGCAAATTGCACACTGTAACCTCCCAAATGAATCATCATGTGGTCTGAATTGGGTAGAAACAAGGATGTAAACACGTTAGTCTAATCCGTCTATTCAGCAGAACTCAGTGTGTCGGGCTCGCAGGATCTTGAATTGTACCAGACGTATATCCAGTTCTCTTGTCCAATCGAGTCAATCGAAATCAGCGAGGGAAGGTTGGTGTTCAGAGCTGGTACCACACCATCTAAGACGTTACCGTTGCGTTTCATTATTGCCAATATCGTAGTTGATTTTTGCCTTACAGTCAAGATTTACGAGAAGGATTAATTGTCGCTAGGCCAGCCATTCCATATTAACAAGAATCGCGCCTCCCATTTTTTTCAATTTTTGCAAAATACATCGTGATACTAAATAAGGCTTTTTACGTTTTCACATGTTTTCTACAAAAAAGGACTCTGGCCTCATACAATGCTCACCAGATAAAATTTCCCTTCGAAGCTTTCCGAAACCTCTGACATCTTGCAAGGCTGTTGTTACACTCTCTAGAGCTCCAAACAAGCTGTCAAGGCCGAGGGTCAAAAGCATCAGGAAGAACATGATGGACCAGAAGGTTGCACCAGGCATTTGATTGATGGCGTCAGTAAATGCAATGAACACCAGTCCTGGACCACTTGCTGCCTGTTGGATAAACGTTCCTGGTTACATCATAATATTTGTTACCGTGTTACTACAACTTTCTGATGCTTACGTTTCCAAACGCACTTGACAGTGCCCACGAAAAAAACCTGAACATTTGGCTGTGTGAAAATGATGAATTAAAATTTACTTGTTTGGAACCTATAAAACACAACACCCCAAAACAACGACTACTTCATTGGAAGCGTTTTAAGAAGGTTGATTACTTAGGAGGATGCGTTGCCTCGGAAATATCAACTTAGTACAGCTTTCCAATGACTTTCTCTTGCTGGATACAATCCAACCGCTCCAGACACTATGAAAACAATTATATAGAACTGTTGTGTGCTGCCTTACTTTGTTTTTAGCTCCTCAGTTTTGATGTTGTGATTTCCTTAACTAACGTATTCTGTCTTGCATGCAATTTGCGGCCAAATGCTGACAATCATGGATAAAGCACAAAAACCGAAGAGCATGCTAAAACTATCTAAATCTACACGTACATCTGTGAGGAAAGTCTCCAGGTCACATTTTTGAAGTTCACTTGTGACATTGGTTGTGGTGTTGCCTTTAAGCCATTCGACATGCTGTGTGGACAGCCCTGTTGTGTTCAGCGTGTGAAGGGTTGCGTTGAGGCTTTCCAAGATTCTCGCATTACTTGCTTCACAGTCGTCCAACATGTATGTTGCTCTGTAAAAACGTAAACTCATCTTACAATACGCTTTAATAACAAGTGCTTTTTCAACCTTATCTCAGTTAAATGACTTTTCCGCAACTTCAAAGACGACTTGTGAGCCTAGCAAGTGTGGTACATGGCCGCTGTATGATTGCATATATTGGTCAACTTCTCTGAATGTTTGGCACAAAAGAAGGTCATAAAAAAAGGGGGAAGGTATAAATCCTATCCCCAGCCCACATTTTGGCCAAATTTCATATTCCAGCTAGCCTATATTTTGCCCAAATCCCAGTTCTAATCCGTACCCCATTCCCATCTTTAGGTTTGTGATTCCCAGTCCAGTGACCCAAATTCTATTTTCCAAGTGAAAAGATATGAGGTAAATCCCTGTTTCCATTTTGCCTCTTCAGTTCCCTCATAAACTAACTGCTCATGGAATAGAAACTGTACTCCAACCCAATATGTATTTTAATTAACCATTCCCGTTTAGATGCTGAACCTCTGTTAACTCTACAAAGGTAATATTTTGTTAGGAGCATTGCGTAATGGGTTAGAACGCCAATCACGAGATGGAGCTTAAGATATCTTGAACTTGTTTTGGCAATTTAGACCTATTCCCATCAAATATGTAACATCCTTCGTTTCTGTTGATGCGTTTTAGGAAATAACGCTTGGTTATCTACACCGTGCACGGAAATTATCTATAATGTTGAAGACTTGTTAGACGGAGGTATCTTTTTACAGAGGAAATATTGCAGAAGTTGACGATAGGCTTATCAACGGCAGAAAATAGTTCACTAATTAAAACCCCTTGTATATTGATGGTATCTCGTATTTGGTTGTATTTTGCTTCCAAGGACCAAGACTGCAGAGCTGGCTGCGAATTCAAACTAATTGTGGCTGTGTGTCATTTTCAGTTTTCAACTGAAAAGTATGTTTCCCAATAAACTCGCTAAACAAGGCTAGCTTGTTTTCATTAACAAAGTTTGATCTCTGGAAGTGATAAACGTGCTTGAACAAATCTAGTTAAGGACGCACGCTGAAGGTCGCTAAACCACGAAGGAAACGTTCTGGAACTTCTTGAGAGGGCGCTGGATGCCAAGCTGGGGCGTCTACTGACACCGTAGTTTTCAACGTTGTCATGAAAAGAAGGTATTTTTTCATTAGGATCAAAATTGCTTTGAACAGTTTTTTCCTCTTTGACAATTAGGTTCTGAACAGATAAGAACTGTCCCTAACTAAAATGTATTAAGTTTTTCTTGTCTCCAGGACGTTTAGAGTTTTGGTTGCATTCTTCCTTAAGTGTTGGTAGAAGGAGTTATACGGTACAATACAAACGCTCATTTTAGCCTAGAATAGAGATTTGTTTCTTGTAAACTGATTGGATTGATATTGTTAGGCGTCTGATGAAACAGTGATCGTGTTCTTACCTGAATCCTAAAATGGAGAAAACAACAATCCCAGCGAACAAGGAAGTCATGCAGTTAACGGCAGAAATTGTAATGGCGTCACGCAGCGTGTTTTCGTGAATGGAATTGTAACTGGCGTAGGCAACCATAGTGCCAAAAGCCAGACCCAAAGAGAAGAAGATTTGTGTAGCTGCGTCTAGCCATACAAGTGGGTCCAGAAGTCGTTCCCACTGTTGATGAAAACAGACATCAGTGTTTCGAGAACTCCTGATTCCTGCTTTGATTGACACATTTCATCTGGGCTCGAGGCGCAGAGATCAGTATCAAGCAGGTTTTAGAATTCGTGTGCTTTTCTTTTAACTACGCGTTTAACGTTAGTATTTCATGATCAACGACAACACTTTATTATGCTGGAGGTTATCATTTAATTTGAGTAATCTTTAACTAACGGCCATTAGGTTTAACTCATCAAGTTTAGTTAATAATGGTTAAATATGTTAAATTTGCTGCTATCATGCATTAGGTTACAGTGTTTCGAGAACAGCTGTCTAAGTGAATGGAAACTCCTACTGAGTACAGGACACAGCAGTGAGCCCAAACATATTTTATATTCTAAATGCTTGGCCTTGATAGGTGGTAGAACAAATGCTAGTAGATTTGTCTGTTGCACCAGTGTTTTGAGAACTACTGGGTTTTTGATTGACAGCTGTCGCTAGGCACATGGCGCAGCGTTCAGCATTCAAATACATTTTATCCATCAGTATTTTTATGGTAACATACCAGTGTTTTGAGAACTACTGGATATATTTGATTGAGAGCTGTCACTGGGCACTTGGCGCAGCAATCAGTATTCAATCATTTAATTTCAGTTTCTGATTATATAGCAAACCAGTGTTTTGAGAACTACTGGGCATTTGATTGATAGGTGTCACTGGGCACAAGGCGCAGCAATCAGCATTCAGTTATATCAAATTATTTTCTCATTATAGGAGACCAGTGTTTTGAGAACTACTGGGCATTTGATTGATAGCTGTCACTGGGCACAAGGCACAGCGACCAGCATTTATGGCGTTTTATCATAGTGCAAGCGAAAAGTAGATTATAGAGAACCAGTGTTTTGAGAACTACTGTGTCTTCAAATGATTGCGTTTGCTGGACACAAGGTTCAGCAAACAACTTAAAAGTTTTATATTATATATCGCATGCATTCGTTTTGTTTAAAATCAGCGTTTTGAGAACAACTGTGTTGGAAAATTCCGGCACGCGTCACTGGGCACGAAGCGCAGCAAACAGCATAACGTTTTGCTTCATTTTATTTTTAATGATGTATTATTATATAAGTTTAATTATCAGTGCTTCGTGAACAAAGTGCTTGTTGTTGTTGCATCAGCCGCAATGATTTTCTTGTTTAAAATGAAAACCAACGTTTCGAGAACGCTGCACTTTTATCAGAAACTGGCACTGAGCTCCGTTGGCACAGCAACCAGTTCGTGTCTCTTGGGAAAGAATAAACGTTTTTGTTTGATACAAACTACCGATTTAGTTATTTAGATGCGTGCAGTTACAGTATTTGAGACATTTCTTTAAGTCATGCCCACCTCGATTTGAAATCTCGGAGGCTATCTTCACTTTGTCTCCGACATCATTTCCATCTTGTGTCTCTACATTTGAAGCATGAAAGTGAATTAGTGTCTTTTGTCATTTTAGTGCATTAATGCATTGGAATTGCATATGTTTAGCTAGTCGAGCAGTTTGCAAGACACGTTTTAGTTTTCGTTCAATTCTCCCATTGATGGTGGGTATCTAGGTACATATCGTCTGTTTGGCTCGTGTTCCAACTTCTCCTGGCCACGTCTCGCGTATCTTGTATTGCTCGTAGAGTTGTCTCGAACGATTGTTGCAGTACGGTAAACCTTATCATTTCTTCGGCCGTAAAAAAAAATTGATAGGCCTTAAGGCGTTGGAGTTGCAGAATTCAGAAGCTGACTTTGGAGTGAACGATGTAATTCTTAGTCTCCGCATTGGAATTGCGAGAACCTAAAAGCTGCACCGAGATGGCGTCTGCCGCTCTTGACAACATCTTTGCCACGCTCCTTTTTAAACTGTTAAGTCTACATTTTTTACCCTTTTTCTGTCTGAAAACTGCATTGGAATTGCAGAAAGCTGAATTTTACGGCACTTTCAGAGCATGATATGGTTTGGCTAATGGTTATAAATGGAATCGGATTATTTCCTTTTCCAGGGCTACAGTTACCAAGCAATCCGACAAAAATGAAATGTTTTCTCAACGCCTGCAGTCTCTAGACTGCATTTGAATTGCAGAAGTGTCCAGGCACCTAAACGCAGATTATGGAGTAGTCTATTTTGAAATGATTGCCCTTTTTGCTAATAATGCCAGTCTGAGCAACAAATTTGTCAATGAGGGCCAGGGGGTCGATGGAAAGAAGACTGCATTTGAATTGCAGGAAACTAAACTTTTAGTCTTTTAGTTTTGGAAGGGTCTCGTGATTGAGAAGTTCCTTAAAGTTGTGCTGCATTTGAATTGCAGAGTCGGGTTACGTAAAGTTAGTCTGCTGTCACCAAAGTGGCACCTTCCTGCATTAGAATTGCAGACGCCACATGAGTCATACTTACGCTGTCCATAATTCGCCACTTCAGAAACGAGAAAAGTCTAGAGCGAGTCTCATCTAGGAGTCCCTTGTGAGAATATTACTGGAGAAAGGAAAAAGATGAGAATTCATACTGTCCTCAGTAGCGGTCCCACAAGACACTGCGAGATGTGTCTAGCCCCAGATTTCTTCGCGTTTCTACTGTGGTATTTCCTGGGGTACATCATGGAGATCACGGAGATAATTAAACTGCATTGGAATTGCAGAAGCCCTTTGCTGCAGTTAGACGTTAGTAGTCATCTTATGACAAGGATTAACCGTTAGATCATCAGTCTGTAGACCATTCTCTATTGATAATCTTACTCTGTCTGTCTATTCTTTAAAACTATCACAACAAACCCTTTCACAGGAAACCATTCGGTTGTCATTGTAATCAGCGAGTCCAATGCAAGCTAAGATCTGACCTCGTAGCGTGGAAATGTTACAGAAAAGTCGATTGATGGTCACTTAACAAATGAACGTTATACCAAAAGACCGATCTCGTTGTAACATTGAAAATTATTGCAAGATGATCAACGAACTCTGTATTCGTTTTGAACTATGGGTCTAGAGTTTTGTCCAATATCATGATCTGAAAGTTTTAATACCATGAAAGGACTTGTTGTGGGCCTAAAAGGAACCAAGTATTTAAATAACTATCTTTCTGACAGTTGCGTCTTTCTAAACTAATCATTGAAGCAATTAATTGTGGTGTGTTACAAGATGTTGAAGAAGGTGAGTGGACATGGATTGCCCATAATTTGGCCTTGTTAGGTTGGTCTCCAGGGTTCATCTTGAATGTTCTTGCATGTTTCGGGCTCAGTGGTTAGGATAGAGCCTACTTTAGCTGAACCTCTACTTGTTCGTATTATATAGAGCTGCGTTTTTGAGCAGCTCATGTTACCCCACCCCCCCAACCCGCATCGCATTGGCTTGTGTCAGCCTCGGATGCCCAGATTATTATCGTTAGTAAATATCTTCCTTTATCTAATATTTGACCAACAAATTCCTTCAACTTCCTGGGAAAAAATTCTGATCCAATTCTCTTATGAAAGAACTGCAGTCGGTCTTTCTTCTAGCTCCACGATTTAAAATCAATTAATCTTGTCACGGAGTGTAAGGCCTCGAACTGCCTTTCTTCGTTGTTAAAAAAGACTTTTTAACACAGACCAACACGACCTTCTAGAGAGGAAATTGGACTTTAAGTTCTATCGTTTCTACCTGCCTCACCAAATTAACGTCACACATCCAAATTTGGGCACTACAGGCAGATGTATAAGGACGTCATACCTTTGGAGTAAACAGGTAAATAATACCTGTCTCAAAGCCCTTCAAAAGAAGACCCCGGATGAAGAATGCAAGCAGAACCACGTAAGGAAATGTCGCCGTAAAGTAGACCACCTGTGAAGAAATGATAGAGCTTGCTGCTGAATGACATACTACAGGATTATTATTTCTTCAAGATCCTTTCTACACTAAAAGTTGTTGTCCTTCAGATTTAAACACGGCGCACGTGGGTAAGATCAGCCAAAATTTTTGTTGCAGGCAATTGCTTCACGATAGCTGCTAGTTAGTAATTATGGTACAAGGGTGCGCACACTCTTTCCCGTTAAGTTACTATAAGTTGGAAGGTTACCCATGTAATACGTATCTGTCTACTGGAGGCTGCACTCGTTATCCTCCTCGATCCTCTCTAAATAGATAAAAATAGCAAATCCTAAATTGGTTTCAAACGTACCTTGCCAGATGACTGAATGCTTTTGATGATACAAAGGTACGCCAGCAGCCAGGCGACCACCAAGGCCACAGCCAACTTCCAGTTTATCACAGCGCTCTCCTCTACCCTGTTAGCGTGCATCAACGTCTCGCGATGGTAATAGTAGGCAGTTGGGCTACTCCCGGAGCATTCTTTGGGTGTTGTCAGTTTAGTGGTGTTCAGCTCACTGTTGTAACTCGACACCTTTGGACACTCTGCCCAAGGAAGAGGAGACTGGAACGAGTTGAAGAAGTAGAACAACACCCAGGAAATGACCACGTTGTAGTAGCTACCAACAAGAATGCAAACCACTGTCGTTGCAATGCCCACCCCTCCCAGGTAAGGACATACTGTGCTCCAGACGTTAATAGATCCCTGGCGAAGTCGCTGGCCAATGCTGAGTTCCAGGTAGAAGATGGGGATTCCTTCGAAGATGAGCATCACTAAGTATGGTATCAAAAAAGCTCCTAC